ATTTGTATGATAACAGTTTTTTCCTATAGAATACACTTGTATTTAAGGCACTACACCCTTCCTTTAGCTCTGCTCATGTTATAAATGTTTTGACAATTAAATTTGGAAAGCTCTGTCAAGCCAGCTTTAAACATCAAGTTAGAAGTAGGGAAAGTTTTTGTACCTGATGTACTTGTTTCTTGGCCAACAATCGCCCTCAGAATTTCTTTAAGATAAATTGTGCAAACAAGGAAAAATTAATTACTTTGGGGCCAGTATTCTGCAATGACTTTCCTTGTTGAGATGTTGATCATGGTGTTAGAGTATTAGTAACCTTTTTTACCAGGTATTGGTTAAAAACTCTTGGCTATAAGCAGAACCTTGCTCTCTGAAGAAAGTTTCTGAAACTGAGTTTAACTAAGGTAAAAAAATAGCTAGTGTGCAAGGGAAGTAAATCATGTTTAAAACATGCAATACTTAAACACTTCTACCGTCTCTTCTGGAAGTAAGTAGAAGATGAATTACCTCTTGCAGGGAGATGAAAAACTTTGAAGAAGAACAAAAACAGAAAGAATTATTGCTCCAACAGAAAAAGGAAGAACTAGTAAAATGAAACAGCCAGCTTCAGGAGGTTTTAAATGGCTTTGCAAACCTGTTGAAGGAAATAAGTAAAGGAGAAGGGGATGTCTGCAAAGTGAGGTAAGGACCTTCTTCTTGAGATTTTATTTCTTTGGAATTGTAGATGCTAAAGGAGGGATGTCATTTAATAAATTTTTCTTTTTCGTTAAACAGTTCAGATGAACAAGATCAAAAAAAAAAGATAAGTAAATTAGAAAGACAAGTTCAGCAAGTCAGATCTTCAGCCAACAACAAACTTCTAATGTTTGGTGACTGGATGCCAACATTAGTAAGTGAAATTGATGTTGCTGTGTCACAGGGAAGGTTCACAAAGCCTCCAAGAGGTCCGATTGGTAAGATAGTTCTCACAAAAATACAGTTAGACTGTAGGAAGTTACTGTATTAATTGTTTGTCCTAAATTATTTGGGTGATCAGATGGATTTCACCTGTCTTTAAAATCTATTTCATTTGACATCTAGGGAGGCATGTCCATCTTAAGGACAATAAATGGATGAAAGCCATTGAATCATGTCTGGGCAGATATGGCTCTGGGTTTGCTGTATGTAACTTCAGAGACTACAATGTCCTGAATGCTATCATTAAGAAGTGTTGCAAACAGTTTTTTCCTGTGGTTATTATGTGCCCCTTTGAGGTAATATGAATCATTTGATACTTTTGTTTTTGATACGATAATTGAGGGCACATGCACCGATTATAACGTAGGTATCAACTAACTACATTTGCCATGGAATTTTATTACTTTTTAACTAAATAATTATAAATTTGTGATGTTTCAAATATCAGTTTTTCTTCGGATTAAGCAATATTACATTATTTTGTAAATAGTGCACATTTTTTTCCGATTTTTATTATAGACCTTCCTGATTTCAAAATGATTGTAAAATTTTAGAGTAGATTTTTAACACTTGTAGCATCCCTTTTGGAATTTTTTTCATTTTCTATTTGGAATGTTCTTTTGGTGTCCACAATTAGCTAATATATAACTTAATACTCTGACACTTGAATAAAGTTTATTCATTCATAGAAATTCATAAATTTTTTTGTCACAAATTTTTCTTTGTTGTATGATTGGTTGTTTGAGCACTTAAGGAATTTACATTTATCATTACTTTGTTCTGATAATTAGTTAATTAAAATGGTAACTCTTTTTTTTGTTAATGTCACAATTGAGATAATACTCCAAATTGAAGCCAACAAAAACATTTGAAGAATAATGCATCATGAAGATCCTTCAATTAATATTAATTTTGCAACCACAACTCCTCAACAATCACAAATATACCAATTCAATCAGATTTCAAGAGCAGGAAAATTGTTGCTGATAGTATTTTAGTTAACCTCGATGGACTGTGCATAAAACTGGTAATCATGCCATATTAAACAAGTTTTGGATGAGGTTGAGCATGATATCCTTAATTATCAGAACCAAGGTCTGAGTTGTCTGCTGAAGCCGAAGGCTGAGGTTTGATAGTTCTTGATCTCATGCGATAAACTAATTTCAATAATTGTTTTATTCCACATTTTTTTAACAATCTACAAAAAATTTGAGAACTCTCTTCATGGACAAGGGGCTTAGGTAGACTTTGAACTTTACATGATTAATATGTATGTTGTAGTTCAATTTTATCCCTGGTTCAAATTTTATTTTCCTTTGTTTCAAACTCATTATCAAACATTAACATGATGAAGAACAAAGGAAAATAAAATTTGAACCAAGGATAAAATTGAACTACCACATGGTATCTGCTACAGATGTTGGGTTATCATGTCAACTTCACACACTTTTTTATATTGATTGAATGCTCTTGACCAATCAGATTTTGCACAGTAAGTAATACATAATTTACTTATCATGTAACTATCATAATGATAACTTTTATGGGATCTTGTCTTTGCTGCAGGGCTCAGATTAATATTTAATTTACTAATAGCAAGTGATTTTATAGTTTCTAATAGTTTTCAATAGTTTTTAATAGTGTTGTATATTTAGTATAGCTTCACTTATTATCTTAGAGTTGGCGTGATGTCCTAAATGACTTTTCTGACATAATGATATTTAGATTTAGATTTAGATTGATTTCTATTTTTTCAAATTTTTATTCTTGTGATTTTATGGTATCTTTGCCAATTTGCTGACTTAAATTTTGTTATGAATTTTCAGGAGAAATTGTATGATGTGTCACAACATGTGAGTAGATTTTTTTTTTTCTTCTGGTTTGCTCTTTTTTCTCTCTGCTGTGAGTGACGGGGGAAAATTTCCAGACAGAAGTCCACATCGTAAAAAGATGGACTGGTTTAGGAAAAAAAAATAATGCTTGATTTTTGCAGGAAAGGCAACAAGAATGACAAGTATTGATATAGTTATTTGAAGACCCAAAATTGGAAGCTCATTCTTAGTAGTAAAAATGTTTGGTTTTTCTGGGGCTGTGGCTTGAAGCAACACATGTGTCACAGATACAATGAATATATGAAGTTCATATATTTTCATGTGTCACAATCTACACCATCATACACCAGTCTTTAACTTTAGCCCAAAAGGTTTCTTTATTTATAAAATTCCTTTTCAATTGTGTTATTTGTTAAAAGAAAACAAGGTGTGAGTTTCCAACAGTGCTCGACATGGTACAGATAGATGATCCAGTATTGGCAAATTGTCTGATTGACCAGGTAAGGTGTCAAGATACTGAATTTATCTTATATAATTGTGAGTTGCTAAAAGTCATGTGTTCTTCCTTAGTGCTTGTTGCACCAATATACTGTAAATCCTCTAATAAGCTCCCCTGGGGACTTATTTATTTCAGGCACTTTGGGGGGAGGGCCTAGCAACTTAGCCCGATGTTCACTACCAGGATACAATAGGATGTGGCGTACTGTATTTAGTCAATAATTCTTCTCATTTTACATTTTTTCATTTACCAAATTCGCAGAGGTGAGATCCTCAGTAAAGTCTGATCAGTTGTACGAAAAAAWT